GCAACAATGGGGACAGACGCCGCCTCGGCGCAGGGACTGGCGGCTGCGGGTTCAGGTGCTGCCTCGGCCTTGGCGTCCTCAGGTGCCTAGGGGCCGGGGCCTCCGTTGGCTCAGGGCAGCGTTGACGGCTGGTTCCCACTCCAGGCGGGGGGATCACCAGCGGAGCTCCGCCACAAAACTCCTCCAAGGGGACCGCTCCAAAACACCGCCAAGCGCTCCACAGTCTAAACTGCATCATGTGGCTTTCACTTACGTGGTCAGATCCCACTGTCATGATTGGAGGTTTGGTTTGGTTTGGTGAGGTGAAGGAAGACGCAGGCAGACCCAGGATGAAGATGATGATGATTTAATGATTGAAAACACAGGGACACAAGAACACAAGGAGCTGGCAGAACGGACTGGTAAGACATGACGAGGATCCGACAAGAGACAAAGACAACAGGGGGGACTACTTACACTGGGAGGGTAATCAAAGAAATGAGACACAGCTGAGCACAATCAACAGGGAAGACAGAGACTCACAGGGGAACAGGATAATAAACACAGAAAAAAACCTCAAAATAAATACACAGAAAACACAGATCACAACAGTTTCACAGGTTGTTTATCTTATGTTGTGACAAAAAGTGTTTCTTGACATAGATAATGACCTACTGCTGGATAACAATATCTAAAACCATCATAAAACTAGATTGATGTTCTTTGTTACGATTATCAAACACTAAGTGACATTGTGTTTATGGAGGATTAAAGGGGAATTTTTCAATACAAAATTTGAAATTTTCTAGCTGAATTGATAAAACCATCTATCTTTTCAGATGTGATGTATTTCCATTTTATGAAAAGATACATTTTTAAACACATATAAGTGTATCAAAATAAATAAGATAATAATAGCTGTAGGCTTTTACTCTTAACTTCTAGATAAGTTTCCAGATTTATTATGTGAATTAAATCAAATTGTGAGATTTCAGGCATTATATCTAGATCATAAATCATCTAACAAAATGAGTTTCAGTGCATCTCCTGAATTATTAGTGGCTCCTGATCAACAAACTTCAACTATTGTCAATGTGAATCTCCCATAAATTTATGGCTTTGCAACCCTCTCAAGACTGTAATTATCCCTGATGCTTGAGTGTTTTTTACTGACTGTTTTTCCTTGCATTCAACTCTCTAGTTATATACTTGAACTCAGCCCTCTGACAAGCCAGTTTCTTTTATTATAGACATTTTGTTGTTTACCCTGCAAGCTGAGTGTGTCAGTTGAACAACTGTGAAGTCAGTAGAGTAATCCATCATTAAAAGGGATACAATATGATCAAGAACAAACATTTCTGTATTAAAATCCCATTTTAATCAATCTTATGTAAGAATCTATTTTCTGACAAATAGTTTTTGTCAGACACAATTTTTCAGTGTTGTGAGTCATAATTTATTAAAAATTAACAGAAATAAAGTCTTAAAATTTGGAACAAAATTAATGTTTTCAATGTTTTTGATCTACTGAAATCAATTAACTTTCCAGTAAAACTATTTATTAGAATTCACCTGCATTTTATGAAGATTAAATCCACTTAGTACTTATGAAAAATATATTAATTTAAAATGTACCAGTCCTACCAGATCCAATTTAACAATTAGCATAGACTTTTAATCTTGTTTCATGTAATATGTTTTGATAGTGGTAGAGCTACCCTTACTCTGTTTTAAGATCACACTTTAAGCACACAAATTGTATTACTACATCTCACTTGAAACAAAAATAGCAGTAATGCAGACATGTAAAAAGATTTCCCTGCAAATAAACTGTACACAAACAATAAAAAAAATATACAAGACATAAAGACAAAGTCTACACAAAAGAACTCGTCTTATGAAATAAGATCTGGCGTGCATCTTTAGGTGTGTTCCTAATCTCTCTTCTGTCTTCAGGTGTCTTAAAGACATACTCCCAGCAGGATGTTGCCACCTGCTTCCACAAAATTTCCAATAACTGCTCAGAAAGAAGCACAAGGGGATGTCATTAGCATTAGAACCCCAGCAAGGAACTCACAGTAAGGGAGCAAAGGATGCAGGTGCAAGCTGCACCACACTGATCATAAGTACATTTGTAGATGGAAAGAATGGAGCAGTTGTATAAATTTTTGGATCTCTTAGTCCACAGATTTTGTTTTGTTATCACTTTTGATTGAACAGGTGTTCATATTTTCCTCAGGTGGTTTAATATCTTTTGACTTTTTTTTTTTGACAGTTTTTGTTACAGAGCGGCGCTTACAGTATGTGTGTATGCGTATTCTCGGAAACAATTTTCACCTGCTGAATAATGTGCATCTGTTTCTGTGACCTGTACCTGAGGTTCACAAGTGACACAGACGCCAAACATCACAACTACAAAATAAGGAGGCCAAAAGTATTCAGGTTCCAATCACCTGTTTTTTTTTTTTTCCCCACAAAGATTTTACCCATACATGTATTGTGTGTCACCGAGCAACAACAAGTCACTGCCCTCTTAGTTTTCAATTTATATTCCGATGTGGTTTAATAAACATACAGCCACATGAAAAGAGGATGGAACCAAAATAGCCAAAACTGAACCCTTGACAAAAACCCCCATTCATCCTATTATGTTGCGGCAGTGCAACCTAGGGATACCAATACAATGAGCAGAGCTGTGCGAACTCCCGATGACCCTGGCACAATGTGATTCAAAAGGATACTGCAGTAACGCATATTCATCATGCAGATAATTGCATGGCTCACACTGTCCCACATGACAAGCCAATGTGACCACCGGCTCTTAATTGGGATTCTTAAAGCTATTCATATTCCAATATTCATGGCGCCCTTTCTCATTTCCTGTTTAATAAATGCAACTGTTAATTGATAGTGTCACAACACAATGAATGAGACATTTAGAGTGGCTATTTCCTAGATTACCAAAGGTGAAAGAGCATCATGCGCAGTTAATGCGTACTTAAAAAGACGAGCCAAATTGCTGGAAAGTGGAGAGTGATGGCAGACTGATTAGGCCGACTATTGGAGATAAAAAAAAGATGTAAGGGAATTGTTCTTCTGCTTGTTGACTAAATAAATGGTCGGGAAAAGAAAGTGCTTTACAAAAACATAGTTGCTTTAGGTTTGCAGCACATTCAAAAGTTAGACTTATTCATAGTTTTCTCTATTTTCCATTCAGGAAATCTTTGATGAGACATAAAATCATGGATGACCGAATTGTTGTGTCGTTTCAACAACCGCACCCCGACATTATCATAGTATTAGCATGTAAAAGGAATGTGTCAAACAGTGACTGTGACAAATTCATGGATGCAAATGGTTTTGATACAGCTAAGATTGCAGGTGAAAGCTCCCATTTTGTCATTTTTGTCAGGTGGTGCAGCTAATTTCACTCATACAGAGAACGTAAAACTAAATTTGTGTCTAAGAGCTAGAAGTATTCTTTTATTGTCATGGAATAACTGACAATAACTCTGTTTAGGCATAAAAAGGTCTGCAACGGTATATATATTTTTTGCCTATTATGACACTTTTACTAGTACAATGAAACAAAACAATAAAACTGAGAGACATAAAGGCAAATCTCTGGTCTCAGAAATGCCATATAGCTCAATACAACAAAAAAATGTCAAACATGATGTAATGTAATATGTGATGACTCTTTCAGAATTGTGTTGTAGATTATGTTTTGAAAAACAGAGCCTGCACATAATTGTGTTGCAGTTCATGTTTTCCATGAAGTATTAGAAAAGCTTATGCAGTTGAAGTGAATATGCCTGTGAGCATTGAGACAGAAGGCAGAAAACACGAGTTCACGTTAGCTTCATTCATTGCTAATAGTTACGTAAGACCCTCCCACCCACTTTTTATGCATGATGCAGGCTGCATCATGTTCCCAAATAAAATATTTAACAAAAAATAGAAAAATGCATAAATTGTTTAATTGTGAATTCATATTTATTTATCGACTAATGAAGTAATCTGAGGACAAGCTGTGGTTCAGTTGAGACAGAGCAGCAACAGCCATACTGAAATGAACCAGGCAAAAGCTTGATACAGTGTGAAGGACACTTCATATTGTCCCTTAGACAAAGACAGCCCCATCCTAACCTAAGAGAAAACAGCCAACAAACATACTTTGTCTGCAAAAGAATTTAGAGCCCTTGAACCTTTTTTACACTGGATTTTATTGTATCAAAATAGCTAATTTCAGCATATTTTATTAAGATTTAATTTGATAAACACAGAGGAGTGCATAATTGTAAAATGGAAGAAATATTGTGTGTGATTATCAACAATTTTGGATGCAGGGTATGCGTTTTGCATCTAGCCCCCCTAAATCTAATACTTCTAGATAAACTTCTTTCTTCAAAATGTACCCCACTAGTAAACAGAGTTCACCTATGTGTAGTTTAATCATAACTACTCTGTGCATCAGTGAAATCATCAGATGTCAATTATAAACCATTAGTCAACAAAAACATAATCAAGATAAAGGAGCACCAGAGCTTGACGACAGAACATGTTTGTATAAAAAAAAATAGTAGGGAAGGAAACAGAGAAACTCTCATTTCCATACCTGGCAGGGTGCTAAATGTGTGACCATAACCGTTCATGTTCTTAAAAGTTGGGGGGGGGGGGAAACCAGGTTACGGCTTAAAAGGTTTGGGTCCCAAAAAAAAAACTACCTCTGCCGATCCTGTGTCATAGCGATTATACAGTGAGAAAAAACAAACAAAAAAAAAAAAAACCATCAGGTTATGCAGCAACATCATTTCTTACCACTTTGTCTGCTGCAGGTGAATATTGTAAATAAGGTGTAATCAGTCACAGGCGGTTCCTATTCCTAGATTCATTTTTCTGCAGCACGCGTTATCATGTAGAAATGAATTTTCAGGGACACTGTCTCACGTTCGTGTTGGTTTTTACATTCCAGCGCCTTAAATAATCTGTTTGGGCTAAAAGGTGACCTGGTACTGTACCTGACACATGTTCCTCCGTTGCGGCAGGGAAGGTGCTGGCAGACAGGCGGGTCACAGTTCTTGATGTTCCTCCCCTTCACTGCTTCACCCACCAGGTCAATCTCCTTTGAGTTGACCTGGAATTCCTTGATGCAGCCAATGAATCTCCTCTTTTCTTTTCCTCTCTCATCATGAAGCTCCCAGAGGGATGAAACATCCCCAAGAAATATAGGTCCAAAGGATGTCTGCAAAAAAAAAAAAAAAAAAAAAAAGAGAGAAGTTTTATCCTTAAATAAATCAGTCTCTGAAGTTAGGAGCAGTTTGGATGCAACAGTACATAACAATCAATTTAACATTAAAATGAGATTGATTTATATTAATATGAAATGTGTAAGATGGCATCTAGAACCTACTGCTAGATTCAACGCTAATATAATGTGGAAAATAATCACAATACTGTTAACTAAAATCACTTTCTGAACCTATCGGCACAGAATTATAATTTTGAATCCGTAAATCCATCCTGTAAGCGTTTTAAGTTCTTTAAGTTAGCATGTAAGCAGTCTCATCCCCTGTAAGCAGAGGATTTGGATTTTCCAGGGTATTTTTTGACTTGTTGTTAAATGTTTAGATCAGCAATTTTCAGTTAACAATCAGTAAAGGAGTTTCACAACTGCATATGTCTAGAGAGAGAGAGAAATAAAAACAAAAACATTACTTGCTAACTTTCATGTGACATTTAAATAGTGTTAATTGTGATACATTTCAGGAACTCACAGCTTATTCTACCATAACCTTTTGCTTAATGAGAGAAATTAATTCTGCTGCCAAAACGGAGCTACACAATTTGGGGAAATAATCCTGTTGGAGTTCAGTTAAAAAGGTTTTATTCTCAGTGAGGGTTCAGGTATATTGTTTTTTTTTTTAAAGATATGTTTGTCCATGCTAAATAAAATAGAACTAAACCAAAATATAATTACTGAGCCTGCCTTTATATTATGTTTGAAACAATTCAGATTTTTAAGAAGTTTATGTTTTTTGACGGGACATTCAATGCTGATGTTGCATAAATGTTTATTATTGTGGAAAAAAACTCACAGGAATAAAGATTGTTTAGGGAATTAAGGAATTAGAGAACTTTAGGTCCAAATCCGACAAGGCGTTTTTTTTTTTTTGTTTTTTTTTAATAATACTAATAATATTATCTGAATGAATAATGTTTGAATGATATTTCTAAATTTATAGATAATGCTGCTGTTTTTAAAAGACTTGAAATAATGTTCTCTTTTAGCTAATTCTGAGGTAAAAACACACTGAAACTTCTTTACTGAATTATGTATTTTATTTGTTTTGTTTCGTTTATTAGCCACTATAAATTACCACCAGTTCTCTCTTTGCATCCAGTTTCTCAACAACGAGGGCATGCAAACCTCTCTTAGCACACATTTAGCACCCACAAATAAAGCTATTCAGGATTTTGTGGTAGAAAGCAAAGTTCAACGTCCCATAAATTATGTCAAGTCTTCCAGGTGCTCAAGTGACTAACCTGCCCCAGACCATCCTGTTTAACAATCAGTTTAAATATTTCTGAAATGCCTTATTGCCATGTTTTTTTCATGAGATTACATATTCCAGAAAATAAAATTTTATCTCATCAGTCCACACACTCTAAAATTTTATCTCATCAGTCCACACACTCTAATATTTTCACAAACATCCTGTGGGCCATTCTTTTGTGTGTGTGTTTGGTTAGCTGTGGCTTTCGCCTCTGAACTCTATCATGGATGCTGTTTTTGCCCAAACTCTTTCTTTCTGATGAATTCCAAACAGTGTCATTAACTGAGGCATGTGAGGCCTGTGGTGCTTTAGAAGCTGTTTTGGGTTCTTCTGTGACCTCTTGGATGTGGCATTGAAGCTCTCTTGGTTCTACGTTTTCTCCATTGGAGGATAATGACTTTTGCTGATTTTTCCTAGAGACCTCAAGGCTTAAGAAGTGCTTTATAACAGTTTCAAAACTGAAAGATGTAACTACCTTTGTTTCTTTTTTGTCCTGATGTCTTTCAAGCTATCTCATATTGAAAGATGGGTTGTATGCAGGTGATTTTTTGTTTTGTGAAACTGGACTAATTGCTACAAAACTGTAGTTTACTGATAAAGATTTCACTCATTTTTTTTACATTGAGTTTTGTTATTATGAATAGCTTTTTCTCCCTTGAAAAAAAGAAAGCCATTTTCCAATAATATATAATCTGAAAAGAAATGTGTAATGTGCAAATTAGTTTTTACAGCACTGCAACTAAAGGAATACAAATATGTGCTCTTTTAGAGAAATTAATAAAAAGTGTCCTCAGGAAGAAATTTAAACAATATTCTAAAGTTTTAATAATGCATAGATACAATACTAGTTCATCTCCTGAATCTTTATACTGTGTTTACACTTGAATGATTTATAAGTCAATTTTAAGTGCCTCAATAAAAGTAAACCTTGCTCTCAATACTCTGAAGTACAAAAGAGACTTTGAGCCGACTAAAAAATATAAATATATAAATATAAAAAAAAAACAGAAGCCACTCAGAAAAAATTTAAGAACTATTTATCTAGATCAATACAAACACTACAATAACAAATATTTTTTTGGTCACAATGCAATACTGGATAAACTTCCTGTTATAAATATTATAGAACAAATTCAGTCGATATCAAAATAAAAGTATAAAACATACTACATATCTGCACAGTAAAGTTTAAATATGAATTTACCTTTTGTACTCTTTCTACTTCCATGTTCTTTTCCATCATAATTAAGACATTCTCAGAAATTATGCCATTTTTTTTTATCTACCTCTCTATCAAATATAACAGTTCAATTTCATAACTGCCACCACAAAATCTGAGCAGTCACGTCAGTATTTATGTATTTATAGTGCTTTCAAAATGCCAATTATCATTTTATGCAGCCGGCTGAGCGAAAGTGATGGACAGCTGCAGAGGAGTCGTTTCATGGAGGGACAGTTAAGTGTTGGGCCACATAATCATTGAGGGTGTTGGTTTAATGCAAACGTTTGGTGGCAAAACTGCTGCTTATCTGAAAACCAATACAGACGACATGGATGACAGGGATCATGGGACCACCTGTTGTACTGTCACCACATTGGGGAGCCCCTGAGAGTATCTTTAACAAAGCTTAAGAGTCAAATAAACTAAGCTGCGATGCTGGGAAACTTTTACAATGAGCAACGCTTTATTTGTGTGATACAATCTACAATGAGCTGCTAGAGTTGCATAATGACGGTGGGGTGCAGAATGAATTCATGGCCCCTTCAAGTGTGTTTACCATGTTTATGAGACGAGTCCATTCGAAATGCTCACTTATGCAATATTCATGATTATGTAAGTGGACCAACAGCGACTGAGTTCACGAGAGCCATATGCTCATTTTTGAATTTTGTTTTAAAGTAGCATTTTTGGCTACACAGACGCAGTGCTGCATGGCTAACCAGTTATCTTCTGTACTGGGAAATATAGCAGATACTTTCACATGCAAGGTCTTTCATGTTCTTGGAGCAAAAATCTTGATTTCAGTACTATAAAGGGAAAACACAGTTTGGGGATACATTTTTCTCCAACAGTGACCTCAAAGACAGGTCTCTCACTCTCTCAAGTGAACAAGAATTCTATTAGTACTGTCACTGTGGTTACAGTGTATATTACATCCTTGGATTTATTCAGTTTTACGGTTTAGTAAACAGTTCCGTGCCATTTTTGAATAAAATAACATAGCCATAGATAAGACAGCCCAATGTACAGCAAATATATTGTGATAGCAACATCAGTGTGAAGATTATTATCACCAAGAGTATCATAATTATTTCACAAAACTGCCATAAGTTCAGACTTTGAATGCCAGATATACAGTAAGAAGCCTTTTGGTGGTCAATATACATGTTACAGATAACCAGACCTGATGCATATCATAGTTTTAAAGATGCTGAAAGCTATAGAGAGTTTAAAAAACCAGCTTCTATATTACAACTAATATTAGCATTGAGTTATTTTCTCATGTGGTGCAGCCCTGGCCAAGAGATATGTGACAAGTATAATGATTCTGTGGCAGGGGTAGAGCCAGTTCATGAATAAACACTTGAAACTAGTTGTTCACTGAAAGCTTTCTATAAGCATTAGTAACAAAACCAGCTAAGGGGCTTCTTTTATTTCAAATTATGAATAGGATGTCCTTTTAAAGTGCATTTGTAGGCATACTATAAAGAGCTTTCACAAGTAATGCAATACAATAAATCACTACTGTATCAGAAATGGATATAACTCCAGTCTGAATCGGAATGTGTTTGAATCGGAATGGGGAGAATTATAGAAATTTGAAGTGTAATTCAGTGTAACTGGGCATAATTTAAACTTGTTTGTACTGTGAAGTGAATGTGGTCTCAGGTTGAGTATTTGCTGCAAAGTTAATTCCTCAGTGCAATCTGCTGGGCCTACATAGATATTTTTTTTGTGGTAGAGATGGACTGATCAGAAAACGTGTGGCTGATTCTTGATCTCAGATTTTACAAATCTCATAATTTCTACTTTTAGCATAAATGAGAATTTATAAGATTGAAAGTGAATTGTGATATTGCAGAACTGTATGTCTCTGCCTCACTGGAAATCTAATGCAGTCAAATCTTTTGGACTAATATTAGACAGCTGCATCTGTAAAAATAAAAACAAAAACATGAGGCACATCTCAAATTGAGGATGTTACATTTTTTGTACAACATTCTTTTGATAAATTAAATATTGTAGAGTAAAAAAACAGTAACTCTCACAAATGAAAATTTGTAGGAAAATCACTTTCCTTTCTGCAAGCTTCTGTTTTTAAAACAACTAAGTCCTTTTCTCTCAGTAATAATTTCCACACTAAGAAGTGTTGTTTTTTGTTGTATTGAAATGTCGAAGATTGATTTGTATCAACTTTTGACTAAATTAAATTCTGTATAGTTGAGATGACATTTAATATCAATTAGTATTATGCAAACCAGCTGAATTAAACTGAAATTGCTCAAAATGACTAGAATGCTAGTCATTTTGCACTATATCAATAAAAAATAGATGAAAAGATTAGCTGGTTTGAAAGGGTCATTTTGACAACATAACTATTCTATGCATGAGTGGACTCCAAGAGATATTAGATTTATATGTAATATAAATCTATACAAATGTATAAATCTAATATCAATATATTGGAATAATATGTCATTAATGTCATTTTGCCGAGTACTCGACCCAATGTCTCTTCTTCATATCTACACACTGTGGTAATCTGAGCAAGCAAAGGTTATCTGTCAGTCTACCTGCTAATTGCAACACAGATAGTGCTCCTGTAATTAATGAATGTGTTATAAGTTTAAGGAAAATTCAAAAAAAAAAAGGAAAGAAAGAGGATGTGAAAAAAATCATAGCATCTCAAATTAGAAGACCATAAATCATGCTGAGGGAGGGGGCATGCTGAGCCGGTGGGAAGGTTGAGTCCCTCTCTGTGCCTTTGAACGAGAAAAACAAAATTATAAATAACATATAGAGGAGTTATAGATGAAATTAATGAGCCACATCTGATTATTGAGCCTGAGCTATCTTAATGGTGCTTTCATGCCTGCTAACTTTGATCATCTATGGGGAAACATAACAGGTGCACCTACTTTTAACGAGTGTTGGCCATTACTGGGCTGCTTTTGACAACATAAGGGCAACAAAGAAACAATTCATCGTGTTGCTGTCCTGAGTTGAATAGGTCAGTTGTTTGAACGGAGCCACCGTTGGCACGGAGGTGGTGGCAAAGTTCAGTAAAAACAAAACAAAAAAAAGAAACAATGCAGTCGCTGTTTCAGCTGCTGCCAGTAAGCATCATCTGTTTAATCAAATATGTGAGAGTGTATATCCCCAGGTTACTCTCCAACATCAATGCTTTATTTGTAACTCCTGATCATCACAAGGCATGGTAGGATAAGTGAGGGAGTGATAACCTGGCTTCATCTTAAATTCACCTGAGTCAAGAAAAGGTAGGTCGCAATGTGCTACATAAAGCTAATACAAAAAAAAACAACAACTCCATAGTAGAGCAGTGCAATGCTGCCGTGATGGTTTTTCCAAACTTTATTAAAGATTCATAAATAATCTTTAGTGAAGTTAGTACTTGTACCCACAAAGCTTGGCTATGTTAGGACAGGAGTACCTTGGATAAAACGGAAGTTGTAAAGTGAACATGCACTTTAAGTGAAGTCGGGCTATTCCTGGAATCACTGGATTGTTTCCAATTGTCAGACCAGGATTCAAGATGATTGTGGCCTCTGAATTCAAAACAATCTGTGAAAATATCTTTCATTTGACCAATAATAAGCCCATTAAGGAATATCCTCACCTCACCTCACCTCACCTCACCTCACCTCACAGAATCTTAGGTTTAAGAATGAGTAAGACAGTTATGTCCAGTAATAATTTATCAGTGCATGACATTCTGATCTGATATCTCTGAACACTCTCTGAATGTACAATAGAAAATTGCCCATTGCAAGCAGTCAAATACACAGGTAATAAGCCCCCAGTGATATAAAAGCATAGGAAATGTCAAATCAATATAGATTTAAAGTATATTTTTACCTCCCCTCTCCATCTAAATATGCTAGAGTCCATGTCTTCAGATCATCTTCATAGTTTTTGAAGTATTGATATGCAGCTATTATTAAATGCAGAAGTGAGTATTGCAAGACTGTAACACATATTTGCTTTGTTTGTAAGAATGAAAGGCCATACATAGAATTCAAGGGAAGCATTATTGGCTATAGGAAAAAGGTGGATAATTAATTAAGCTGCAGAAAAGACTCTTAAAGTCTATGTTAAATCACAAGAAACTTTGTAGCCTAACAATATAACAACAGTGACAGCTTAGATCTTTTCCCCTCCACTGATTAGATGTTATTCATTTTGAATTGACCTTGTAGAATAAATCTTAATATGGCACACATTTACATTTTGAGTTATGTAAAACAAAAAAAAACAAAAAAACAAAAAAAATAAAATAGTTATCCATATATTTTATAAAACAGCAGTTGTTGCTCCAATCATGTTTTAGTTCTTTTTTTGTATCTACCACTTTGTCCATAACATGGAGGATTTTACTGTTTTTTGTATATTTTCAGTGAAGCTGAGAGACCCAGCTTTGTAACTTGGAGCTGTTTTTGAGAACTATACTATAAATGTTTTTTATTATTATTATTATTATTATTATTTTATAGCAGGAAATAACAACAGATAAGCTAAAATCTGTAGTGCATTGATAGGTCAGTTTTATAGAAATTGACTGGAAATTCATTCCTAATATCTCTGATCGCTGCATCAAAATTGCTTAATCATGCCTGGAAGTCATGAATGGCAACCGGTAGTCTATGATAAACCTCATGGAAAAGGCAAAGAGAGATCTGGACTTTAAGGGCAACGGTTGATGTGACTGAAGGCAGGTAAGCATACCTCTGACACAGGGTGAGACACAAGTTCCTCAAGATGCTGTGCAGTGCCATTATCTGCAGCAATTTCAATCCGACATGACCCTCCTTGTTTGCCAACAGGCAGGCTAAATCTGTTAAGAAAAAAAAAAAAACAGTGAGAGAGATGAGGTGATTGAGAGAGTTAGTAAGTAAGGTAGATCCAAGCAAAATCTGCGACTCACAATAAATCCAGCAAAGCATGGAAATATTCTGATGGCGAGACAGACACAGCAGTCACAGTAATGGAGCTGCTAATGTGACTATTGAGAATATACCATAAACTGACTAGGTATACATTACATGCAGTTTTATGAGGATTTTTATGCAGTGGTAGATTGGCTTGGGAGCAATGGTGCGTTTATATCACTCCTCACCAGCCAAAACCCAGGAGAGACGACAAAAACAGACGATGGTTTGGATGCAAGATTTAAATAAAAAAAGAAGCACCAAAATAGGTTTCTTCTCGGCACTGCAGCGATATACTTTAAATCGCTGTGTTCCTTAGAAAAAAATCTGAAATTTACATAAAGAGATAAGCAGTCATTAGCAGGTTCATTTACATGATAAAGCTACAGTGAATGACACACATTGCCACGCCAAATAAAACAGGAGTTACATTAACTTTACTAATAATTACAACAGTCATAAATACATAAACTAATCAGCCTCACAAAGACATGCAAAATGCAAACCTGTAAGAGCTTATTGTGTCACTCAGGATTAATTAATGATAAAAATGAGGGCAAAAACCATATATGCACAATAACCCTAATGAGAAGGAAGACAATTTTGTCATTTGACCTGCTGGGACTCTCTGGGGAAATATACAGTTGCACTAGTCATTAATGTTGTAGCCATAATGTTAAGTAGCTGGTCTACTTGTGTCATACTCCAACACTGACAAAGTCAAGCACTTCCCTCTCCTCGATCCATCATTGGCTTATGCTGGCGCTATACAATCATGGGCTCTCTATATTGCGACAGGTTGCGTATGGACTTCATTGTTCACATAAACTTGATTATGTGCTGGGAAGTAATTCACGCGAGGCACCTTCATCCTACAAGTTTATGCAGTGCCTGCTGCTTAAATGTGAGATAAATGACACAGCGGATCTCAAGCCTGTTTACACCTCTAATGAAAATCCAGGATTTTGTGACTTTACATAAAGTCACAAATTCAAAACCTCCAACTAATTGATTTGACATCACGTAAAACTAAAGTGAAAACAAACAGTTCCATTTGAGAAAAAATGTGCCATTTAAAACTACATAAAACTACAATTACCTGGTTGCACTACAGTGCATATAAATTGATAGTTTGAAGAAGCACTTTATGATTCTAGATTCTGGCTGTACCATTACAAAACTTTAACTTCTTGTTGACTACTGCTGCAAATTCACCTCAGGTCAATAGCCTAGAAGTTGTACGTTAAAGCCTAAACTTTTTAATTTGTTATTTGAAAAATACATCAGTAGTATTGTTCTTTAGGGGTTATCTGATGTCACAAGAAAAGTGGAAAAAGGTTTGGAATGACTCAATCTCATTTCTTCATATCACAAAAACTTGACATTTTAACAGGGTTATGTACACTTTTGAGAGCCGCTGTATGTCACCGAGCTGCTAATTTGATTCTGCAAAATCGACCATCCTGCTGTTTGTGACTGGCTGAGCGTTGATGAGGAGAAAGCCTCAAATGTATATTTTAATAGCCAGATGGAAACAATAAGGGCAATCGCCCTCCTGTTAATTTGAAACAGCCTTCCAGGACACCTCCCTGAGGCAATCCCACACACACAACCTCAGGTAGGACTAATTACAGGTATGGAAATCACAAGAGCTCTTTTGTACACACATATCTGCATGCACACATATATTCATGCACACATGTTTAAGATTGAATACGTGAAAGGCAGCCTAATGTCCAGAGAAAAGGGAGAAGAGAGACATTACTATCCCCAGGGTGCCTGCTCCGTTTCTTCTGTCATTCTTCATACATTAGCATAACATTAACAGATCGGAAAGATATTTTAGAAAAGTATATCCTCTCCACTGAAATTCAGAAAGCAAGATGATAAGGTGCAAATGAGCACATACACGCCATGAGTACACGTCTTTGTGAAGCAAAACAAACTATAGAAAGGTATGAAAAATCATAGAAATATTATAAAATGTCTGTTACTAAAAATGTTTGATGCATATTTTAGTGGTTTGCACAGTGGGGATTATTTTTTTTGTGCCTGCTAATATCCCAAAAAAAAAAAAACAGTCTCTGCCTAAGCAAACAGGGTGATGTCTCCTGATGAGCTCTCGTCAGCACACTGAATGCTCCACTCAGCTAATTTACATTGGTCTGGCTCTAAGGAAAACTTGGCTATTTATATAGATAACTATTCTAGTCTTTTTAGCCAGACAACTAAAACTATTCCTTATGGGCTCACATTAACATCACAAACACTACAAAACGCACAATGGTTGATGCCTTCCATATATATGAATGAAATAGAGGGAAAAGAGGCTTTAAATGGAGAGATTAAATCATCTGGAACTGGGTTTTCTTTGCTCTATTCCCCTGCTTGGTCTCAAAGGATCAACAGGAGAAATATCCCAGCTTCAGATAAACAAACAAAGACATGTAAATATTTCATTTTCTCCAGGCACACAAAACCACAATGTGGTGGAAAGCTTTTTTTTTTTTTTTTTTTTTTTACATCCTCGATCATCATTTATGCATTTGTTCATCTGTCTAATGATCTAATCATAAGCAATTTGTCATCTCTAAAATCTTCATTTAGACTCGAGGTGTGTGACTAATTCAGGGCACGAGCATTTCTGTAACTTTCAGGGGCATAACCTCTGAAATATTACCTGCAATGTTGAGGGACCAGGCGATATTTTCAGCACTGCACCTTTATGCAAAGGTATTTGTTAAACCTGAGGTGGGCGTTTGTCTTTCCAATCAAATGTGCCTCCTTCACAGTCCCCTTGCAGAAAATTAGCAATGAGGGAAGAATCATCATTAAAATATTACTACTGCATAAAACATCTGAAAGTATTGGCAACAGATGGCAGTAAAACATCATGGAGCACACTGGTGCCCTTGCAGCATATTTCTCTGACTGTTGGGCTTTGGTGACACCTTTTTAGCTGTTTATTATTCTAAAAAAACATTATTTATTCCTAAAAAATGATTTGATGGAACACAACATGGTAAATTTGTAGTATTCAGATAGTTTGGCATTTAACCAATACAAAACTATTATATTTGAAGTTAATGGTGCTTACTAGACCCTTAATGTTTATGAGCAAATTAATAATTCCTGACTCATATGTTATACATATATGATGAACACAAATGCCACCTGTTACCATGCTTTTAGTCATAGCAGCGCAGGCTGAACAGCTACATAAGAAGACAAAACAGAAATCACCCTTCATATGGTTAATATTCATTATTTATGAAATTCTCCACACCATCTAACACAAACCATCAAAAGGGAGCAATTTTGGGGGAAAAGTTTAATATATTTTTTTCCAAAGTATTTTCAAACACATATCAGACCAACATCTGCACTTTTAGTGAATGTAATCTCCGCTCTGGCTATGGTGCAGTGGCGCTCTCACACGCAGCACTGCAGCATTTGCTGCATAATTTGTGCTGTGACCGGCAAGCCTCAATTAATTTGGGCAGCCTGTGTTCTATCATTATATCTTTGGCAATACAATTAGACAGCACACAGCAAGGCTCTTGGCATTGTGGGGGTTCACAAAACAAAGCTCCAAGTGTGAGCAGGCACGGCTGCCGACTGCCTCTCCAGTGAACCTTTTAAGAGGAGGTCTTGTCAATAAAGCGCTGAATACAGTGCAGGCGATAAACACGCCTTAACTCTGATCTGGCGTCACGCTGAGTTGATGTGTGTTTGGAAACAAAAATGCTCTATATTAAGATCAAGTGAATACACAATATGACATTAAGTCTAATGAAAATTTAAAGCAACTGAAACACAGTGTACTAACGATATGCTGTTTGCGTATAAAAACAAAATGAGTAAGATTGTTTATCTTTGGAGAGATTTATTAACTTCTCTGTAGCAATAAATTACTCACTTTTAATTTAAGTTACCCCATACCTTATAAACTCTCAGACTGAAAAGCAGTGAAGACAGATGGGTACCAAAGAGCCCTCTCAGCTCTCCATTAAGGAGTTTGTTATTGAAGAAGCTCACACAGATTAACAGGTGTTTTTTGAAACAGGCTGGACTTGAACCTGGTACGCTGGATTTCTGCAGCATTAATTTAAAGAAGTCAGACTCCTGATATGTCCTAAAAATGTCTTTTCAGATTTTTTTTCCCCCTCACAGCACACGTCTGTTTTTCTTCTCTTACAGGGGCTGTTGCTATGCGACACTCACACCCACATGTGCGTTTTTACATTGGAAACTTACTCAATGGTCAATGAACAGGAGCGGTAAATAACCAAATTCCATGGGTAAATTAAGTGCACGTGCTATTTCTAAACCGGTCAACGAAATGCTTGGCATCACTCGGTGTTTAAATTAACATGATTGTGCTGTCTTGTAGGAACATGCTGTTTCAGGGGTAATAAGACTTAAGGCAAGGATTGAGGCTGTTATTTATAACAAAAAGCTATTACTGCAAGCCTAATGGGAGTCTGTAAAGAAATGCATTTACCATGCAGGGAGACTCTAATGACAGAAGAATCTTTATAATTGGTGCCTTTGGAACTTGACTTGTCGTCTGTAACAGGTAAAACTTCCAGGGCTTCTTTGCTTCTGCTTCATAAATCATTTACTAATATTAGATTCTGCTGATTGATCTCTGGCTCCGCAGATGCATGTGGTGCCTTTTAGGAAGACGACAATCCCCACAAAAAAAGCTGTCTTCAACAGAAACTCTCCAAATATAATATGAATGCAGTCTTCCTATGCTGGATGCTGAAGAAAACTACACTTGGGATTGGTTAAAATTATATTTCAACTCATTTTAGTTTAGCTTGACCCAATGCAATTCTACTCAGTTTAATTCAACTCGATCCAATTCAGTTTAAGTTCCAGTTAACTCAGAATTCAATTC